TTATTTCACTACGTCACAATAAGTCCTATTTTCACGCTTAACTCTGAATTTCCGAAAATTTCAAAACTTAGATTTTTTATCAACTACAAACAAAGATAGTGATTTTTCCTTCAAATTAAATTTTTCATCCATAATTTGCTTCTTCATTGCGTTTATTAACATATTTTTGAAACTTTTAATAGAAATGCGCTATACTGCGTACAATTTGTGCAATTTTAAGAAATTACAAAAACCAGATTTCCTTAAGAACGGCTCCACTTTTTTCTTTAAACGTATTGTTTATGTAGTTATCATTACATAATGTACGATAGGGATTGTTCCAAATGCACTCTATGTAATGCCATATTTCTATAATCGTTTGTTTAAAAAAATTTATTTTGAATTATCTCTCTCGTTAATATTTACATTAGCAGCAATTTTCTCACCTTATAATATTTATGACTAAAGTGCTTTAAAAATAATGTCACATCAAACTTCTTGAAAACTCAACGATTTTCTGACAAAACTAGCTCAAAATTTCGCAATTTCAGTAACGCTCAAACATTTTATCAAAAACCTCTCCAAATGTGTCTACGAACTTTTCGAATGGATAGTGCCAATTTCACTCTTTAATTTGACGTCAAGTTCATTTCGGGATATTTTTTTAAAATTTCATATTTTTTAAATATATCTCACGCCGTCAATATGCACATTTCCAACAATTTGTAAACACTGTTTTTTTTGCGAATTAGTTTGTTTAAAAAGACGTCTAATCAAGTTTTTCTAACACTTGAAACGTTTCTGTGATAAAGTGCTTGAAGTGTCGAATATACTGTAGCGCTTAAGCACCAGTTTTTTAAAAATGGCTCAAAATGTTTCAAAGAAAAGTTCTTTTATGGCGCGGTTTTACTGTTATTTAATGTTCTTTAAATAATATTACTGTTAGTAAAGAGGAAAAAATGTATTTTGGGTGGCGACAGATGGCAGCAGGCACGAGTATGTGGCATGTTCTTATAGCTAGCAGAGACCAAAGGAAGTAGAAAAATAATACGAGAAAGAATGTGCCATTATGTAGCATCAGTAGTACACTACCTCACCTATACGTATGTTTGGAGAAATGGTATTGTAGTCATGAGCCGGAAAACGGCGAAAGTTCAAGAAAAGCTGTTATTGCTGGGCTCTGGTAACAAAAATAGAAAATTTATCTTCCTCTATATAATAAATTACTGCCTTTAATTACATGTTGTAGCTAGAACGCATGTGTTGGCCCTTGTTGCCGAAAAGTCGATTGACGGCAAAACCCTGTGTGCCTGTCCTAAAGTGGTAAACGCTAGCCATTCAGCCAATTTTCTCTAAAATAGATATTCCTCTTTCCATCTGAACGAACCCGAGTGTTTGGAACTTTCAAATGTATATTTTGATCTTTTAGGGTACTTTACATGAAGTCTTAACATGTTAATCTTTTGCAGAAAAAGCACTTTTCCCTGCCTACGCCCTCGTCTTGGCAGTTTCTGAATCCAAGGCAGGACACCTAAACCTCTTTCCAAATCTAGTCAGTGAGGTACAGCTCGAAATCAGGTTTAAGATCCTATTTGTCGTAATAATACCATATGATTCCTGCTATACACATGGATTAAAATTAATAGTTTGCAAATAGTAATATACGACTTGAGTATTGTAATATATCTTATTACTTTGGTTAGGCGGAAGAGCAGGCCTTACGGCGTGAGCCTCGGAAGAAATAAAGAAGAAGTAGTCTGAAGTAAGACTGCCTTTTGTCCAACTGCTTGAAATTTTATTGGTAGGACCAAATATCTCAAATTCTTTTTAAAAGTTTTTGACATCAAAAGATCACATAGCATAAATCAGAACTTTCTCCAACCGCCATATCCGTTTCAACTGCATTGCAAACTCCTCGTACTTACTGATCTTTAATTCAGCTTTCCTGATGTTATGGGTAAGAGAAATTGCAATATCACTTATAGAGACTATTGTATTTGTTTTATCAATGAGGAGGATATCCAGTCAGATATAATCAACTGTTTTGTCCGTTATTACGAATCTGTTTCAATATATTACATTGCTTTTTTGTTTCCAACACAGGGGCTGGACAATATATTTGTAATATGGCGTAGAAGAGGCAAGCAGCAAGAGTTAACAGCAAGTTCTTGATGTATCAATTTTTGCGAGTTAGTTGGGTCTTCCACAATAAGAATTGTATGATAAAGACAGATAGCTCGCCATAATATGTTTAATTGATTTGCCGTATGATTCACATTTTCTGTATTAGTCTATCACATTCATCTTCATAACATTTTTTTGTGATTTCTGGTTCGCAGAACCTTGGATAGCTATTACAAACCCTCCAATCACTGGGTATAAATATCCAATATGTAGCCAATGCATTTTATTCAATATGTTGCTCTTGCAGATAATTGGGTTACCCCTTAATTATTGTAGTCAATCTTTTGTATTTGGCATGCTTTTCGTGGTGTTACGAGAATGATTCAGTGGCGTGTGACCTAAATAAATTCCATTAACCTGCTGCATAATTAGGTCAGAGGAGTTCATCAGTTCACTTTTCATATTCTGTTCTTGTTTCCTACATAACCAGTGTATATTCAGTAGGCCTCTTCCTCTAACTTTTCTGGGTAAATAGAGTCTTACTGTGGAAAATTTGAGATGCAGTATGGGATGCAGAGTCTACCAAGTTTAAATCACAATCCGACCACTTAATTATTCCAAAAACGGTGGTTATTGTTGATACGGCCCAGGTGTTGATGGCTGTTATAATGTTCTTACCTGATAATTTTGTGTTAATAACTTCAGTTACTCTACTCCGGTGCATTTCTGTAAAGCTCTTCTTTAGCTGGGGGGGGGGGGGTTCAATCGTGGATTTCTGCCATTTTCCAAGATATTTATACATAACACCCGGTTCCAATTCTTCAATACCTTGGAACTCATTGTTGGGTTGTATAGTTTCCTGTTTCCAGACATTGAGAATAGCGCCTTTGTCTGTACCAAATGTCATGTTAATATCTTTACCAAATATATCTCCAGTGTTGATAAAGGATTGAATTTGTGTCACGGTTTTAGCATAGAGTTTCAGATCATCCGTAAAAAGATGAGAGATCTTTTTGTCATATTTTATTTTGTACACCAACTTACTTTCTTGCAGTAGAGTAGATGACGGGTTGATGGATAAATAAAACCACAGTGATGAGAGGCAATCTCCTTGGAATACTCCTCTTCTAATGAAAATAGTTGCAATGTTTCTATTTTCAATATGAATGTTTGTTCTGTAAGTGAACATCATTGTCATCAAGCATTTAATAATTTCCGGAGATATTTTCTACATTTCAAGAACTTTCAATACCCAGTCGGGAGTGAATCGCATGCCTTGATGTAATCTATACAGCATACATATAAATTTCGCTTCTCAGTTTGCACCTGCTTCAGTATTATAGCGTACGTTGGTGTTTCCAGCCCAAGTTTCCACGGACACATGCCTTTTGTTCTTCCAAAATGCACTTTGTTTCACAGTGTTTGTATATTTCTCCATTTACAACAACAGTAAATAACTTATATTATACCGATAAACATGTGATTGGCAGATAGTTTCCTGGCTTTGAAGTGTCTCGCATCTTGTACACCAGGTATGTCTTCACTTCATTTAGAAAGACAGGAATTATTTCGGGATGAGATAGTGCTTCTATGTAACATCTTGCTATAGCTTCATTTGCAGACACTAGTTGTTTCATCCAAATAAATTCTGTATTTTTATCGCGACCTGGCGTCTTCCAGTTATTCTTCTTCTTAAGCACCCTTGCAATATCTTCAGCGGTGAATCTCATTTCTTTTGGCAATATTTCTGTTTGCTTTGTTTCAATTTTCTTGATCCAGTTTGCAACTTGTTGGTACCGTTCTGGTTCCTTCCACAATGAACTCAAAATTTACTGACCTCATTGACATGTACGGTGAGGTTATTCTCTCTTTTTCCACTCTCTGAACCCAGTTCAAGTTACATAAAGAAGTTCTTTCTGTTTCGGTGGAAATCCATGCTTTGCTGTTTTATCTTGGTAAGTTAGTTGTACTTTTTAAGTCTTGCTTCTTTAGCTGTAAACTTTTACCGTAATGTATCTGTGAGATAAATAAAAAGCTGATCACTGTCTGGAAATGTTAGATTAATGGAAGTTCTGCTTGCAATTCCTCTTACTTTCATGAAACTGTTGTTGTTCAAATATTCAGTAATAAGGTCTACTTTTACGCGTAGCTCATCAATGCATTTTCAAGTCTCGACTTCCAAGGTGGGGCCTTTTGCATATGATTTCCTTTTTGAAGGCTATGATGGTAGGGTTTTGTCCATTTAACTCGATGACAGTTACTGCTGCACAGTATGTTGTCAGATGTATTTCTGTCAAATCATGAGTGTCATTTATATGTGGACCCAAAGCTTCATTTACTTCTTTCATTGTAGATGAAGCTTTGCAAACATTGTTAATGACAGGGATGTTTGGTCTATTTGAAAGTTTTGTATTGCGAAAAGCAATGTCTGTATTTTGGAAGTGGAATTTCGTTACACTGTCACGGTGAAATACTCTAATAACTTCAGTATTCATATCTCGTGTTCGTTTTATTCAGTTGTCTTTTATTCCTCTAGAGCAGTCTTCTCACGCTTGTGAGCAGACGAGCTAGCCATACGCTGTAGAACTGTGAGTAGACTGTTGGGAATAATTTCACTCACCAGTTATTGTGGGGGGAACTTAATTTTAAAAATACAATTCATAAAATTTGAGGTATTGCCTTTTTGCGCATAATTTTCTTTTATGAAACATCTTTGACCAAGTTATTTTAGAGCATAATACCGGCTTTGACCTGCTCATCTCTGTCACGTAAAGTTTGCAGTGTACATCAAGGAAAGGGATTTTAATATAAGTGTCTCCGCAGAATAGTTTGAGCCTAGACAATTATATAATTCATTTACGTGAACAGGGTGCATGCGGTAGAGGTTTAAATAAAAAAATCTACTTCAAAATATACAAAGGTCTTTTTAAAAATTAAGATACTCGATTCGGCAACTTGTTACGTGGAAATACGTTTGTTAAATAACATTTCAGATATGGTGATAAGGTCCTCGACAGCAGCCGACCCCGCTGACCCGATAAGTTGAATGAATGACTCCTGGCGCTAGCCGAATTCATCAACTGCGCTCCGGAAAGTCACGGAAATGAAGCAATTCGAGATTTCGCGGATTCATGGTCGGGTTACCGTTTGGGAAGCCCGGGATCTAACGGGGCAGAGCCCACGTCCGAAGGGATAAAAGGCAGTGACTGAAAGCCATGCACGTGAGGATGGGATAAATGAGTCCCAAAACACGTGTATGGCTGTTAATGCTTTATATTAATTTTGTATTTTAATATACTTTGTAGTTGATTCCTTCTCGACCACTAATAATGGATTACCACATCTAAGCTTCCACCACGGAATTGATTCACGTTATGGTGAAAAGACAGAATAGTAATTTTTCACCATTAAATGCCTTGTACCTCCAACCCTGCAACAGTCCTTTTCAGAAAGTATTCTGGAAGGATACATCTAAAAATAATAAAGATCTGATGGTCTTGCCAAAAGGAATAAAAAAAACAAGTAATTTTCTTCGTAAGTCTTTAAACCCCCAAAATATTGTTTTATTACTATATATAGGCAGATTCAGGAAGAGAAATTGAGTCTACTAAGCATTTTTTTTTTATTTTAGTTACTTAACGTCAAAAAACTGAAAAAAGTGTTATGTTCTTTGGAGAGAATTGTATTCTGTGCACGTTCTCTTGAGTTCTGGGATTTCTACCCTAGCTCATACAGAAGTTAAATTATGCATACTAGATTTGGAAACGAGCATTTTTGACAACTATGGAAAAGAAAATATTGGACCTTGTGTAATAAAAAATATTTGCGAGGGCAAATCAGCTACATATTTTGGCTATTATGTCTAATCGTGCCCTTCACGAAGGAATCGATTCCCTGTCGCGAGAACATTGAGAACAATTATTTGAGCAAGTATATTCGTTCTCAACTCCAGAAAACGTGCACAGATAATTACGCTATGCTTATGTCCAGAAGCAAAACAAGAAGCTACCTCAGCATTTGCTCAAAGGATCATGGAAATTGGACGAAATACCTTTCCGAGATTGGTTCAAAAGCTTTTTATTTAAATTTGTGTATCGTTTGTAATCAGAATACATTCTACACCAGTTTAGATGCAAACAGAAGAAATAGAAGAGTGAAAATTAGAAAAGAAAGCAATTTCTATCCTTACATTACAATTTCTATTTTAATTCACCCATTCTCTTTGTAAATGATTGTAAGGAGAAATCGTAATTTTACTTGCAAGAGGAAGAGTTAATAGGTACTTATAAGATTAGAGTTTTGTTTCTTGGCCCTGAGAAGGCAACGTAAGATTTTTCTAATTTTATTAATAATAGGCTAAAAGTATAATTTGCTAACAAAAAGCATCGTAAGAAAACTGATATAGTTGCAACTCACAGTCAAAAGAATATTGTTTAAGCCAATCACTTCTAAACCCCGATATTAACGGCACAGTTACATTTGATATATAACTTTCTCTTCCCGAAGTTAAAACAAACGTTTTTGTGACTTATTATTTATCAATTCGCAAAACTGCCTTCAATAATTACGTGAAATAACATAAAGCAAGAACTGTTCCAACTGTTTCTCGCATTATTTGTACTTCTGCAATTTTTAACATTCAGAGGTCAACGAAAATCGGGCCTGTCATTTTTGTCAGTGTACTTTTGCAGTTCCAGAGCAAACATTTAAAGAAAAAATGTGCAACCGTTTGTTATAAGTGTTTGAAAATGTCTTTGTGACTTCAAGCAAAATACACCTTAAAAAAAAAAAAAAAAAAAAGAGATCAGAGAGCCGCAACATCAGCCAGGTCGATCGAGATCATGAATTTTATTTAAAATTGCGCGTACGGTTTAGTAGCTTGCATTAACGGGCAGATGGGCGGACACGGGCGGACACGGGCAGACAGGCGGACACGGACTGACGGTCGTTTAGTCTTACAACAATTTTTCGGTATCAATGGCCCCCGAAACTTGGCTTATAACTACAGAATATATTCGAGGAAGTTATTTACTATGAATAGAAGCAAGTGATATATATTTCTCAATATCAGATATCCATGAGATTTCTGTCAATAAATCGCTGATCCCTTGCTGCATTCAGTACTTTCTCTATACTAGCTAAGTAGTGTGCGTGAAATTGTGACCACTGCCGAAAGTGTGGTATTGATATTTTCGTATGATATATATAGATATATATATATTAAATATCCAGAGGTGGATCCAGAGACGAATTTTGGGAGGGGAAATTCAAAATATTTTCGTCGCATGTCTTGGTTTACATATTTTGTAAAGTGTCTCAGGCTCCACTCAGCTCATGCTGCGATACGATTTTATTCGTTTTAATGATGATCCCAAAAAAGTTTGCTTGAAAGTCTTTCGACAAGTTAAACTTAATAGTTACTGAAAAATTTAGGTGTGAAATTTCCCCAATTTCCCTCCCCTGTGGATCCACACCTAGAATATATAATTTTTTTTTCTGGCAACAAAGATCGTTTTTACCTTTATTTATAATTTAACAGATATTGTAAAGGAGAAGGTACAATGAGACTGGAATTCAAGAAAACGTTGGCGTTTAATATGGCTCGTTCTCGAGACTTGACTTCCTCTCTCTTCTTCCAAAGTGTGGATTCTCAAAGTCAGAAAATTATGCTCGTTCAATATCATGAATATATAGCAATATATTCCAGAAAGGAAGCTTTACGAAAGGAAACTTAAAAAGAAATGGTTTCATAAAATTCCATCGATGATGTGCTTATTTGTCAAATTACACGCTTTCTAGCTCCTTATCTTCTTGCATTGCTCAAAAGTTGAATTGGAAATATTGAGAAACTGAGCATCTAGACATTTAGATAGTTTGTTATTGATTTATGAGACTCTAATCTGAACATATCTGAACAGTTACGCTCCATCAACAATAAATCTGAGAAACTAAACATGCTTGTGTTCATTATATCGAAGACTGGCTGTTTATCACTCCTCAATGTCACGGTGAGATTAAAGCACCGTTGGACTACCTGTCACTACTGTAATGTAATATCCGAACGAGCAGACTGAATGTGCAGACATCGGATCCTGTGACAATGTCGAACAAAAGTGTTGTGCTTCTAAGCCATGTGTATTGGAAATAGAAAATGCATGCCTTTTGATTTAAGAAAAATATTGGCCATCGCATTGATTACATTTAATTTATACCTTTTAACCTGTTGGGGTGCGCGCCTGAAAATATTAGGAGAGTACGCGAACACATTTTTCTGCTCCCATCTGTGACTATTCTTTAATAATGCGTTGGACACTACACGTACTTAACATTAACGTAACGTGCTTTTGGTCACGTGCTCGGTGAATCCCGGATATTTATACTGTTAATTTGCGTGGTTCCCTTGTCTGTATATCTTGTCATCTAAGGGGAATTCCGAAGTTGTTTGTCGCCGAAGTCCCTTCTCGTATATGTCTGTGTCAGAGGCAGTAGATCCCCTCGGCGTGGCGTCGGCTGTCTTGTGCGAACGCGCTGAATATGTCAACCACACACAGGAATGATGACCAGGTGTGCGGTTGCTTTACTGAAGATTCAGATGGCTTCTGACAATACGACATGTATTCAAGATTACTGAATTTTGCATATTGTATACATTCCTGGTATCCAAGTAAAGACAATCCAGTGCCCGAAGTGTCATTTTCGGAATCACTCCTGTAGCTGATATTATTATAGGCACAGTTGTCACTTTACTGAAGTTCCACTGAGTTGCGTCTTCATGGGCGAGATAGGTATACTTCTGGATCTTCTCTTGATATTTTCCTGATTGGGGGTGGGTATTGCGTATTGATATATCGATCGCGATCGATTCAGGAAATATATATATATATATATATATATATATATATATATACAATATACAGAGAGAGAGAGAGATCGCGATTGATTGATATATCCTGTTGATGTTTTCTATCCAAATAAGTTATATCCGGTCTATTGCCGCCGACGTGTATTTCAGTGATAATGGAGCGATCCCAGTAGAGTGTGTGCTCACTACTTTCAAGCAAGTTCTGAGGCACATATTTATAATACGGCACGTAAGTAGCGAGTAAGCCCGTTTTCAATGCCAATAGTTGGTGGACCTGCTTCGCTACTTCATCATGCCTCTTTTTGTATTCCAACTGTGCGTGTCTGCTACATCCACTTGTCACGTGTTGGATAGTTTCACTTGCAGCCTCTCATCATATACACAATGCTTTAGCATAATCTATGTACCATGTGTTCACGTTTTTTGGTTTTTCAAGCACATGCCCCATATTTACAGAGTCTATAATGACTTGCTCCTTGCATCCCCAGATCCAGGTCCAATGAACATCCTTGCTGTTCATTCGCTAAAATTCGCTGTTCCTCAATGTGTGTCATCATTTGTGTAACACAAGATCTTATGAGTTTGTAGAAATTTGATGGATCGTTATAGGCCTGTACTTCCAGGGTTCTTCAGTGTCATTTTCCTTTGGTAACAAGAACGTTCCACTTTCAATGAGGATGTAAGGCAGATTTTCTGGGTTGTGAAGAAAATATTGAATTATATTAGCTAAATGATGGTAAGTGCTGGTAAATTTTTTGAGCCAATAATTGCTCAGGCCATCACTGCCTGGTGCCTTCCAGTTATGTGCTTTGTTCAAAGCTGCTTGGACAATTTCCACGGTGATGATTGGTTCACCCATTAGAGGGATATCTCGGTGTCTGTCATATTCCATTTCAATCCATGTCGTATCTGGGTTGTGGAAAACAGCAGATGACCAGATAGGCTTCCAGAGTCCTCTATCTATGCCTTTGAGGGAAGCTTTGACTCTTTCACATCACTTAGAATCCCTTTGCCCCTTGACACATTCCTGTAGAATGCTTTCTTGTTTCTGTTAAAAAGAGTATTCTGTTGCTTCCTTGTAGTGCAATTCTTGTATCGTCGAAGGCGTTTTGTTAACGCCAAAAGCTTTTGTCGTAGGGTGTCAAGATGTTCTGTTATTGTTGAATTCAAGGGCTCGTGCTTCGTATGTACTTTTGTATTGATAAAGATGTTATTCATCTTTCTTCTCAGTTTTCCTGAGGTAGTTCCTTTTTTAAATTGTGTGAGCCTCCCAATATCTCTCCTAGTGCGTTCTATACTACTCACCAGGTGGCATTTCCGAGGTAGCATTCTTTTTTCATTTCGATCATTGTGGGCAGCTGGTACGCGGCTGAAAAACTTGGAACCATTACATCTTGAAGCCACAATCACATCACAATAAATTACTGCGTGTACTTCTTCGAATGATGGTCTTTGTTGTAGATGTTGTAGAAGTACTTTTTCATTCAAGACGCTGATTGCTCTTGCTAATTTCTTCGAGAAATTTTGTCTGGGAATGAAATAGTAGTTTAGTGGGTCAGTTCCTTCAAATTCCGCATGTGCGACTGCCAATTCATTGCGAATTTGCACCTCTTCACTACTCTTATCATCAATAATTTCTGACATGGTTGTTCCATTGTCATCCTGAGTTTGCATAGCTGATATCTCCACTGTCCTCGGATTACTAGGTTTTGAGGAGTTAAGCATTTTTCTCACTTCTTCCTTGATTGCTTCCAAAACTGGTGCAGAGAGGAGACTTTTCTGAACAATTGCTCGACGCTGGTCCGCTATTCTTTGCTTACTAACTTCAGAATCAGGAAAACGGTGAAGACATGTTTGATGTAACTTTTGTCGGTAGACCGTAGCTTCAGTCTCCATTTTGGTAGTGGTGTAGTATTCACGCACGATGAAGGTATTTATTTCTGTAGTCCCCTTCATCCTTCTGCGTTACCTGCCTGCGGCAGTGGTCTCTGGAAGCAATAGATTGCTTCTCTGTGAAGCACTTGCGGCAGGTGCAGCTATAAGTGGAGATGGATGGGTGGTGCTATGTTCGACTGTAATATATTCGGGGTTATCCCCGATCAGGGCCCGCCTGTTCAGCTCCTGATCACCACCGGCTTGCAGGCTGTCACCTCCAGCGGTGACTCCGAAGGTGCCCTGGCGCTCCCCAGGCAGCGGCTGATTTTACGAGGCCTTACGACGCATATTCTGGGTTTCCATATCTATATGGGTGTGTCACCCTGTTTGCCGCCAAATTTTCTGACGTTGCCTGTCTCCCACGTGGCTAAGTTTTTAATTGATCGAACGTAGGGCTGGACTTTGGGAGACATTATTATTATTATTAATATAAATGTTATTATTAATGTTATTGACACTAATCCATTTCTAGAAAGAATTTTGTTTCGTGTAAAAAATTCAAAAGATGAATTAATAATATTACAATGAAAAATTTCAATCCATCTGTTTAGACTTGCATACTTTTAATTGAATGCTTCCTAAAATGAATTGTGAAATTGCATGAAAATGAATCAATCGATAAATCGACATTGTAGTTCGGCAGGTTTGTGTGTAACGTACCTCAAAATATTCAAAAATGTATTATAATAACAAACTTTAATTTCAACAGTATAAAGGAACGCTTAAGCACAATAAAATATTGTTTTTTCTCTACTTTGTTTTTCATCCTATTTTCATGAATTAGGTTTTTAGTGTTATTAAAAATAAGAATACCATGTGTTCTTAATATAACAATTTTTCTTTTCAAAATCACTACTTTTAATATGTTTCTTTAGCTCATCAGTGTCAAATGATATAGATCAAAACAAATCACGAAAATGAAATTGAAATATGGATGGAAATTAAAAATTGGTGATAAAATAACAAATGGATGAGCACCTACTGACGGTAGCAGTATTTTCGACACAAGAGTGTCAGCTGGATCAAATTCAGTCGCTTTTTGGAGGAGAATTCTAGCGGTTTGCTGCTCTGATCAGTAGTTTCCCGTGGGTTTCTCTAATAAACACCAGGCAAATGTCGGAGAAGTATCGGGAAACACACGGGCCCGGGGCCACTTGCGATCTTTCCTTCCTCTGCCTTGTCCTACCCTCAGCCTTACATTACCACGAAGCACACTAACACATGGGCCAGGAGACTGGCCAGGAACTTACATTGTTATAGTTAGAATGGCGCGGTGCCCCGTAGGTGGGGGATAGCTGGTTGGGCAAACGCCGCCACCTGAAGGCAGGCCTGCGCCGGATGTCGCCATCCCGCGGGGAAGACCTCCTCCATCCCCGAGGGAAAAACATCAAAACTCATCAAAAGGTTATTTTCTCGATTCAATTGAGTAGAAATCTCTACTGGGTTATTTGGTATATTCCAAATTAATCCATCTTATTCTGTAGCTTCTGTCTGCACTTCCGGGCTCGCGCCTTTTGGTTTAAAGAGAACGTGTGGCTAGCGCGGAGGCATCCCTATGCCGTATTTAGGTATTTTAAACCTAAAAAGTGAGTTTACTCATCGTCATACAGTAAGGAATATTAGAACAATGCAAGGAAATCGCACACTACCGGGAATCGAACCTGAGATTGCATCATTGAAATCGAGTTCGCTTACCTATGAGCTAAACCGTGAGGGCTCGAAGAAGTCAAGCCCTATCATCTTGGACTGACAAATCAAAATCGTAGGATTAGATACGAAATATGGGAGAGAGTTGGTGGTGTAGTACAAAGCACGATGTGTCAATAGAGATAAGCTCTATTTTATTATGATTTACTCAAATATCGCAAATCTTCAATTGAAATAAAACTACATGATTCTTTTAAATCATGATTTCTGGCTAATTCTATTTGATATTTGCCAAATGTTATTAATTCCACATTTTGGAAATCCTTCCTAAATAAACCGATGCAAATAAAATTTCATTAGAAAACCTTGTGCGCTAGACATGTTTTAATGACATTGTGAAAGGTGCTTTGATTCCTGTAATAATAGATGCAAAATACCTAAGCGAAATAAAGGGTGATTTGTCTGACTCGGAGTTGATAGGGCAACTACTCTCGAAAATCGAAAATGATTTTGAAAACGAATTTTAAAAGCACCGTTATTCGTAAGCGCGGGCGATTTAAAAGCACTGTCAAAAACACCTTATTAACACGGATTCTTATAATATAATCTAGTTCTTACACTTCAACATCTTATTCGGCCCAACATTTCTGTACTCTTGGTCAAACTGTAAATATTTTCAATTAACGAAATCTGGACATTCTAAATTCTCAATATTTTTTTAAGTAACATTCTCAACTATTTTATTTTTCGATTAATTATAAAAAATACTGAAAACTTCTTCCTGCATATCGTTAGTTCAATTTCATCAATTTTATTTCAAAAATTTTATTTTTGTGTGGCTTATAACAATTCAATAAATATATTCGTATTTATGGAATTCTGAATCTTTTTAGAGGAATTCTTTGGTCAAATAACGGCTTCAATATTTTTAATACTAAGAATGCGTTGTGGAATGAAGATAAACATGATTCAAGACAATGGCGACGACAGTGACGACGGCGGCGGCAGAAAAATCGACGTGTTAACCCAGCGTTTAAAACTCAGCGTACACCACAAAATAGCAGAGATACAGAATGCAGGGAAAGCATATAGGACATTTACGTTTTTTTTTTTTCAGATTGTCTTTGCACTGAACATTTTGCAAAACAACAACAACAACAAACATATGAACCTGTTTCTGCCAAGAATTTCTTCACGTCATTGATGGATCTACTTTACCTCCACCGTCTGAAACCAATCCCAATATCAACCATTTTCTGCCAGTTTGTGTTAATATATTTTCAGAATTTATGGCATGGCAAGGACATAAATATTTTTACACATTTTGTATATATGCGGTTCTTTCGGGGACATATATCGGCGTGTCCGTTTTTTGTTTGATAGACTGATTCGTGATTGCGAGCGCATCAACGGCCATTGTTCCAGTCAGTGTAGTGCACGTTTGTGTCGTGGAAGACATCACAGGGAGGTCATCCACCCCGCACCGGATGCCGAGATGCAGCGCTGACCAATACGTCGGCTTGCTATGGATTCCCGCTGCATGCGCCTCCCACCAGCGGCGCGCCCCCAGCCGAGACGCGTTGTAAGGTCCCGACTGATCTCTCAACATGTGTGATGGTGAATTGGAGGAAAGTGTGTGTGTAAGGGGTAAGGATAGGACTAGACAGAAGAAGAAAAGATCGTGCGCGATACCTGGCTCTTTTGTTAGCTTACTGCTAGCGAGTTGTTGATCGGAGAAACTACCAGTTGAAGCAGCTGGCCGCCAAAATTCTCCTCCAAATAACGCTGAATTCGAATTGGCTACGTGACGCCGAAAACTTCTGTCACCGCAGTGTTCCGTCGGGACTCGAAACCTAGGACCTCCCGACCACGGCATCAGTTTATGCCTTGAGCCACCACAACCGGTTCATGTTTGTTCAACATTCTATATGTTGTGAATGCAAAACTGTTCTCTACATTAACGTATAGTAAAATGTATGTTCAATGTGTTTACGTGCACATTATTTATGATCACCCGATAAGCGTTGAAACTATCATTTAGAAAGATCCCAACAATAAGTGCGCTAAACAATGAAACTAACTGCTTAACTACACAAAGATGGAGGGAAAAGTAATTGCTGGGATCTTGGGTACAGCCCTCTCATTGGTTAAATGGACGTGGGAGCCGCCCTGATACCTGTGGCAATGGATGGGGAATACCGAGACTAAATGAACGATGTTGATGGGGCCAACGCAGTTGACTGCAGGTGAGCGCGGGTGGAGACGGTGGCGACGGCAGGGAAATCCACCTGTAAGCGCGAGTCGGCGCGGCGCCTGGCGGG